GACTCTTTTAATCTATGGATGGTCTACCAAAAATGTTTTTAAATCTACAGAAACAAATTTAAATTTTGTAAAATTTTAACAAGTTTCTAGATCTAAGATGTAGAGATGTCAATTATATTTTTATATATAAACAGAGCATATACAGAAAACAAAACTTGAAATAATAAATTATTTAAAATAGCAATAAAACATGTAAGAAATTTCACCTTTCACATTTAAATCCTTGATGCATCTGAAATTTATTTGTGGGTATGGTGAGGTAAAGATCCAATTCAATTATTTACATATGGGTAACCAGTTGTCCCATAGCATCTATTTTAATAGCAATCAGTTCAGTTGTATATCAGGATGGAGCATTTATGAGCCCTTTATTCTGTTAGGTTGAAGTATAGAAACTACCATTGTTATATGTCAAAAAACAGCCAAATACTGGCAATTTCATATGGTTCAGCCTATAATTAAATTAGTGTATTTATTTATAGCACTATAGTTTTAATTAATGCAGCTTCATAATTAGTTTTGGTTTCTGTTTGAGAAGTACTTCAGCCTGGTTCTACTGTTTCACGATTGTACTGGCTCCTCATGGGCCTTTGGTCTTTCATATAATTAGAATCTGTTTACAAATTTCATTAAAAAATCATTTTCTATAATTAATTGGGATTGCACTGAATTATAGAACTTTCCCTTTGGTACAAGTGAATACTAGCACAGTTCTTTGCATATATTTCTGGTTAGTGCTGAATGAGTAGGTCTGAACTATGTGAATCATTTTACATGTTTTAACTTATGAATACGTAGAAGCAACCGTGGCTGCACTGTGCCATTTAAGTCCTACAGAATAAACACTTGGTGGGTAGTTTTTTCCATGATATTTCTTTTCTTAATATTTTGGTAGAAGGTGTGCAGAGAGGATAGCAGGGGTAGTGGGGAGGGGCTTTAGGGAGGAGCAGTGAGGGCAGGAGAAAGGAGATACACATTTGGAAAATCCACGTCTAAGTAGAGTCATGTCTCACTTATGTCGGTGGAGCAGGGCATTAAAGGCGAGTCCGTCTGTCCAGCTGGTGGTGAAGTTGAGGACGTTGACCTGGCTGTATGGCCTGGTGGACTGGCGCACCCAGCTCAGCAGGATCTTCTCGCTGTTTGTCTGCTGCAAGGCTGACATGATGTCCTTCATCACATCTTTCACCTGGGAGAGAAACCATGTCTGCCTATGACTTAAAGCAGCTACTGGGATCAAGTCCTTGAATGAGGACTATTTCATTAATTAACCATATGGATCAGGTCACTGGTTATTCAATTTATTTCAAATTTTTCTTTAAACAGTGATTATTTTGAAGTACTAGGATTTAGAGGTGATTTTTTACTTCATCATTATACATTACCATACTTTCTATATCTTAACAAATACTTCTATTAGATTTGGTTACAATAAACATTACTTTCATAGTCACTAAAAGAGTAATATTTTAATACTATACATTTACAAAGAACTTTTGATAGGAAGAAAACTCAGTTTTGATTTTCTACAAAAGATGAGGATGCAAGGTAGACCTTTTGACTGAATGCAAAATCAAAGAATGAAGTATCTTTCCCAATTATATCAAGAACTAATATTGCACATTATTATTCTAAAGAAATACATGTGTTTTAAGGAAGTGCTCAAAGAATGATCTGGACATGTCAAAAGGACACAAGAGCTGATTTGTGATTTGGCGGGGGGCGGGGGGGGGTCAATCACATGGGCCAAATTTAGGATAATTTAAGCATCAAAATAAATAATAATAGCAAAAAGTTACAGGCTATTAAATACGTAAAAATCCCTGAGTGTATACTGCATGTACAATGAATGAATAAAAAGGTAGATGGACAGACAGATAAACAAGAGTCAAGGGAAAGCTCTCCCTTACAATGTAGAAGGAACAATGACATTAGAAATTTACTATTTGCCAAGCATCATAATATTAACTGATCAGCTAACAATTATGAATGGATCCTAACCATTTGCAACATCATGGATAAAACTGGAGAGCATTATGCTAAGCGAAATAAGCCAGTCAGAGAAAGATAAATATCACATGATCTCACTCATTTATGGAATATAATGAACAACATAGACTGATGAACAAAAACAGATCCAGAGACACAGAAGCATCGATCAGACTGTCAAACCTCGGAGGGAAGGTAGGGGAGGTTGGGGGTAACGGGGAGAGATCAACCAAAGGACTTGTATGCATGCATATAAGCCTAGCCAATAAGGACACATATGTAATACCTTAATCAATCAATAAAATAATAATAATAAAATAAAATAAATAAACTAATGGGGAAGATTTGATAAGTAGCTGAATATTTACACCATCTCAAAGTATATCTCACAAGATATTTTTTAATAACATAGGACAGTCACGTTACAGTGGAGGCATAGACAGATACCACATTACCCAAATGATGAAAGTTAACCCTGCCAGAACAAACCTAATGGACAGTGTGTGCTTCCTGGTGAGGAGCACCAAGAATAAATCAACATCACTTTTGCGGCATTCCTGCCCAAAATGAATAACCTGAATCTAATCATGAGAGAATATCAGCAACCCACATAAAGAGACATTCTACAAAATAACTGTCCAGTACTCTTCAAAAATGTCAATATCATAAAACACAGAGCCTCAGAAACTATTCCAGATTAAAGAAGATGAAAGAGACATGATAAGTAAGTTAGAACTATTCATGTTATAGTACACATTTTATATTATGACAATATATTGTAGTTATGTAAGAGAACTCCTTGATTTTAGGAGAACAATTTGTTTTTAGAAAATATACACTGAAGCATTTAGGCAAAGAGAAAAAGAGAGAGAAAACACAAATATAGACAATTGTTAACATTTGGGGAATCTGAGTAAAGGTACCTGGAATTTCTTTGAGCTATTTTAGCAACTTTTTAAAAATATATATATATTATTGATTTTTTACAGAGAGGAAGGGAGAAGGACAGAGAGTCAGAAACATCGATGAGAGAGGAACATCGATCAGCTGCCTCCTGCACACCCCCCGCCAGGGATGTGCCCGCAACCAAGGTACATGCCCTTGACCGGAATCGAACCCGGGACCCTTCAGTCTGCAGGTCGACGCTCCATCCACTGAACCAAACAGGTCAGGGCTATTTTAGCAACTTTTTGATGTCTGAAATTTTTAAATTCAATATTTTAAAAAGGCATTTTCTTTTTTCTAGGCCAGGAAAACAGAGCAGTTTGTCCATCTCTTCCATTCCAGACTGTTAGGCGTTGAATTGTGTTCCCCGCAAAATTCTATGTTGAAGTCCTAACCCCCAGTACCTCGTAATGTGACTGTATTTGGAGAAAGGGTCTTGAAAGAGGTAATTCAGGTAAACATATGGAGTGGGGGAAGGGGCCTCATCCAATATGACTGGTTTCTTGGCATAAGGAGCCAAGATTAGGATATGACATACACAGAAGGAAGACCCTGTGGGGACCAAGGGAAGAAGGACCCACAAGCCCAGGAAAGAGGCTGCAGAGAAAAACATCCTTGCTGACAACTTGATCTCAGATTTGCAGCTTCCAGAATTGGGAGAAAATAATTTCTGTTGTTGAAGCCACCCAGTTTGTGGTGCTCTGTGATGCAGAGCTCAGAAACTAGTAACACAAATGACACATTTTCAGTGTCTAGTAGTAAGTGACTGAAAATTCCCCACCTGCCAGTGCAAAATGATGCTCCACAGCAAGCCCAGCGTCAGCTTGTGATTTCCATCTACAATGTCCGTTCCTCCGATATTCACCAAATCCACCTGACACAATGAAAGAAAATAAAGGTGAAGACAATTTCTCCACGGAAGCTGAGGTTTGGGGTTGAGCACATCTGGACAGCCACACATGTGAATGATAAGAGAAATGAGGTAAACCCAAATCTCAAAAATGTGTTACTTATACACGAAATCATTAAAGTAATCAGAAAAAGAGTGACTATTCCTTCACTCATAGAAAAAGTTCAAAACTTCTCATAAGAAAAATGTTTCCATAAATGAGCTGATGCCCATGCACAGAGCAGGTGGCTGGTTTCAACAATAAATAATCCCGATGGCACCCAAGAGCCCCCAAGTCACCTGACCAACTTACATTGTTCTGATGTAAAACCTGCAGCACTCTGTTCACATTATTTAAAGCATGCACCCTTGTGGAACCACGTTCCTTCGGCTGGAAAATAAAACACAACATCAAGTGAGACAGTACCTCCACAGCCTGACAAAAAAATGACATTGAGACGGACAGAGCGCAGCAGCTCAGCATGGAGACCCCTCTGTGCTGGAGCTCTGGCTGCTTCTCAGGCCGCGTGGGGGCTGGTGTTGACGGTGAAAACTCCCCCACTCCAACACCGTAAGGCGGTAGTTCCCTAGCTTGCCTGGCCACTGAAACCTCCAGTGAGCTTCCAAAAACACCAATGCCTCTTTGACTTAGTGAGCCTGGGTGCAGTAAAGGTTTGGAATTTTTAGAATTCCCTGGTGATTCTAATGCACAAAGTTTGGGGGACAAAGCTTCTTTTCTCTAAATTGGTCTGGATGAAGGGAAGTTTACAAGTCGTATCACATCCATACTTCACTAGGGTGGACAGAGCCTGGGGGGTTCGGGGGCGCTATTCCAGGTTCCAGCTGCATTACAAGGGCCCACTGGGAAGGCAGGAATTGCCACCTGGGGAAAGGTGATCTGGGAGGCTTCTTCCTGCCTCACTGGCCAGGCAATCTTATCTGAGAGAGGGATCAGCCTCTTCAGCAGGCCTGCCCACCATCTGGAAGGCAAAAGGGAGTGTGCAGCACCCCACACTTTGGTAAGAAAGGAATTCATCTTTGGGAGTGCATCTCTCTATACCTTTTATAGTAATTCTACCGCTAGTGTTCAAGTCTGTATTCATAAAATTGCATCCTCTTCATTAGCAGAGCTATTTCTGTGTAAGTCAGGGGTCCTGAAACTTTTTAAACAGGGGGCCAGTTCACTGTCCCTCAGACCGTTGGAGGGCCGGACTATAGTTTAAAAAAAAAAACTATGAACAAATTCCTATGCACACTGCACATATCTTATTTTGAAGTAAAAAAACAAAACGGGAACAAATACAATATTTGTATTTGCGTGTGGCCCGTGGGCCGTAGTTTGAGGACCCCTGGTGTAAGTATACAGTACCTTGCATATAAAGTAATAGAGTGGGATTTGATGGAGAAATAAAATAATACTAAAAATTTGAATAAAATAAATCTCATCATTTGAACAGCCTTGTTTTAATATTTGTTAAATAACATTTAACCGTGTCTCTATACGCCCTGCTATTCAAACCATTATGCCCGCTTTACGTATCCATTCTTCTTTATAATTCTCCACTGGGCTGTCTGAGAACAATAAACATTTGAGTAATTTTATCTTTGATAAACATATAGCACCCTCCCAGAAAGCCTGAATATTGCTCTATCAAAAAGTTCATTGAAACACTTTTTTTAACATTTGTATGCCAACTTTTACATTTTGGGCAGCCCCAGTGGGTCCTCAAGTACCACTAATGCTGAGAGACAGGCAACGCCTTGGCCTGGTTCTCTAGGCTGACGCCTCTCACCAGCGATGCTCCCGTGAGGCCTTCCAGAAGATCCAACAGTTTCCTTCCATCTTTGAGGTCTGTGAACATATCACTGATGGGCGGTTTCCCACTCTGCATAAGAAACAGTAAAATACCACTTAATTCAGCAGCAAAAATTCCATACATGCCTGGCAGGCAAAGGAATGGTTTATTTTTTCTAATGATCAGCTGACTATTCAACTTTGCCTTGTATCAAAAGAACAAATACAAATACAGAGAACGTTGAAATCTCATCACAAATGTTGTGAGCTGAAGGATTTAAATTGCATTATTTCTTAGAAAGGGAGCAAATAAAGCTGTGGTTGATGTCAATACGCCGTGACGATGGTATATAGTCCTGAGAAGGAATAAGAAGATACAGTAAAAATATGTGAGTCTCCAAACACCTGGGTACAGAGACCAATGGAAAGTGTGCGGGTCCTTATTCCATCACTGCCCTTACATTCATGGTAGGAGAATGTCTTTTTGTATTTGCATTATGGGAGCATGAATTTCAGCTCTTGGGGGCTAGGTCTGTATTTCTAGCAACTCCATTTCTGAATGATTAACATGCTTTGGGCTCTGTGTGGAAGTTCAGTATCGGTTCAGTGTTTCCAATAATAAAGCTTATAGAATTCTTAAACTCTCTTCCTCTCATCCCTGACTGATAAATAGCATCAGCTTCCCCGAGAAACAGGCTCTGGTGTTTGAAACCAGGAGATGCCACCCCATCCCAGGCGCATCCCATCCTGACTGTCTGTGTGATCAGACGAGTTGTGTGCAGCGGGACGATCACCACACAGAAAATCAGGAAGCTCAGCCTTAATCCCAGTTTGACCATTAATTTGCTGGTGAATCTAAGTCAGCTATTGAACCTGTTTCTGAGTCACAGATTATAGTAAAGATCAAATAATTTCTACTACGTGAAGATGTCCAGAAAACTACAAAGTCCACTGTAGTAAATGCTGTGTCATTCCGTCACATCAAATTACTCCCTAATAAAAAATTTTCAGAGATTAATCGTCCTAGATGCTTTCAGTAATAAAGATATTTTATAAGCAATAATTATTTTACTTTCTTCCCTTTTTACTTTAAAAAACATATAAAGTCATATGAGGCAAAATTTTACTCTGAGCTTGAAATGGAGGAGGAAAACAGGAGCCATCTGAGGTTTCCTGAAACTTCACATTTATCCCCTTTTCCTCTCCTCCTCATTCATTACATTTTTTTAATGAAATGGAATTCTTATTCAACAAACCATTTCTAACATGCGGCTTTTCCATATACTCTAAATACTCTAAATGAGGAGAAGTATGGCCAAGTTTTCAGCATAGAATCAGTAAAAAATAAACTATGACTCATTTGTATGTGAAACAAAGCTGCTCTTCTCTTCCCAGTTACCATTTTTGTGAGCAGCGATGGTGTCAGGGACACATAGATTATCTCCACCGACTGCAATAACAAACAGATTTGCATGATGCAGGAGACATGGTCCAGAGGCAGAAGTATCTCGTATCTCCACCGACTGCAATAACAAACAGATTTGCATGAGACACGGTCCAGAGGCAGAAGTATCTCAGGAGGCAGAGCGAGGGGGAGTTTCCTGCACATTAAAGACCTCCTGCTGCTCTCAGGGAAAGCAAAGGGCAGAAGTGGCCTGGTCACCTGCTGCCTCTTACCTTCCCCTTCCTCCACCAACCAAAGTGCACTTCAGCAACCTGCCACCAAATAATCAGATTCATGGAGTGGTGAACAACCTTGGTCTTAGAGCGAAGTGACAAGAATAGAGGTCAAGTTCATGGGAGAACAAATAGGGCAATCTAAGCACAGGAAGGATTGTAGGAAATAATGATGACAAGGGCAGCTAAATAATGTCTGGGCAGCATTGAACCCTTCTCAAATTCACTTTCCATGTATGAACAAGATAATATAAAACAGCATAATATAAAATAAAATACATGTAAATATCTGTCCGTGTTACAACTAATTATGAATGTCCATCAATGACCTCACTGTAGACAAGAAAAGCTTCCTACCCACCGTATAACTTTGGGAAAAGTTACTTGGTTTTTCTGTGTTTATTTGCTCATCTACTAAAAAACTAAAATGACAGCCCGGGCCAGTGTGGCTCAGTGGTTGGAGCACACACTGTGCACTGAAAGGCTGCCGGTTCTATCCCAGTCAGGACACATAACTAGGTTGTCGGTTCAATCCTCAATGGGGGTGCATACAGGAGGCAACTGATTGATGTTTCTCTCATACATCACTGTCTCTCTCTCCCTCTCCCTCTCCCTTTTTTTTTTCTAAAATCTGTAAAACATATCCTTGGGTGAGAATTTAAAAAACAAAAATACAACTAAGATGACAGAAGTTCAATAAGCAATATTGTCATTCATCTCATAAACTCTTAACTTTAATATTTCTACTGTCATAAAGGTGCCATAAAATTTCAACAATGTCTGAAAAGATGGATAAAACAAATAAGCACTTCTTCATCCCAGGAAGGAATGTAAAAGCAAGCTCTGAACCTGAGTACATGGTAGTGTCAATTCATAGACAAATATCTTCCAGGTCCTGAATTCACGAAGGGATACATCCCACTCAAAACTAAGGAATGTGCTGATATGAGAGCACACCTGTGCTTTAGGTATGCAATATGAGATGGCGTAATTCTGCAGAACACTCACTGGATTCCTCCTTAAGCTCCACTGCTGCTCAATGGTGAAGTGGGAGGTGTTAATTAAGAGGTAGCATTATTTTTTCTGAATGAGACACTCTTTTCATCTCTCTCATATCCCATTCATTCATTCATCTACTGAGCAACAAATTTTGAGAATGTTTCCCTGTGGAGCATTCTGTTGAAACAAAGATGACTGAGACCCAGTCCTGTCTTTCTAGAAGCCACTCACTCAGACAAGGGCAGCCAATGCCTTTATTTTCTTTAAAAACACAAACCGTACCGTAACAACAACTCTTTCTTTATTCTGTTTCAAATTTTCAGACAAATATTGATGGCAATCAATAAGAAATATGTTTTGTGCTGTCCCCTTATCCTAGCACTTTCTCACCCCACCCCCAAGGATGGTACTATCAGTGAGTACTCACTCCCATCTGTTACCTTCAAAAGGACCGCGTACAGGACGGCCAAAGAGGACAAAATACAACCTGTGAATCTCCTCCCAGAAGGCACCAACGCTTATACAAATCCAAAACTATGGTTCAAAATTACACGAAAGCACAGCCATGCTCACTGCACATATGGCCAACCAATATATAATACTACATATCCCCAACAAACACAATTTGTCCCAGATGTGGATTGGAAAAAAAACCAAAACAGCCTAAGCCTAACAGGAAGTTCTGCCTACAACCCGGAGAGTAACATCTGCAGGCGTGGTGACTCAGTGCGCTGTGCCCTATGGCAGGGGTCGGAAAATGTCTTTTGTAAAGGTCCAGTGAGGACCCAGGTTAGGTGCTGCTGGCCAGGGGGTTGGTCTCTACTGAAACCTCTCTATCCAGTTGTAATGTGAAAACAGCCACAGTCATTACATAAACAAATAAGCTGATCGGAATGATGACTGGGTTCCAATAAAACTTCATTTGTGGATTCTGAAATTTGAATTTCATATAATGTCCATGTGTCACAAAATATTTATTCTTCTTCTGATCTTTCACAACCATGTAAAAATGTAAAATACATTCTTAGCTCGTGGGCCATACCAAAACAGAGAGTGGAAGCATGCAATGTTCTTCAACATAGTAAAAGCAATCACTCAGACATGTTCTAAGAGATTTGCAGAGATTTAGATGTATTATTTACTTGCAGTATTTGTTCCTTTATAATAGTATTTTAAGGTAAGGGAACTGAGACGTAGAGGTGACATGACAACTGAGAGTCAGAACCTGGATGGGATACCACAGAATTTGGTTCCGAACCCAGGTCCTCAAAGTCTGTGCTAAATTGTAACTAAAATTATGAGGTCACAAAACTGCAACATACAGAGAAGGAAATACTTAATCAGCTGGGAGCAGAGAACAGAGGAAGTTACGTGCCATGACTTCCCAAAGAGGGCAACAAGATATATATACATCACATTTAAATGAACTCAAGCTCATCGCTTTCAAGCAGAGCTGGTGCTTTCACAGGCTCTAACGCGGGACCAGCCCTGAGAAACAGTTTGGGAATGTCAGAAGTCATCGTTTAATAAAAATAAAAGCATTCTTCCAGACAGTTAACCTCTTATTTAGATTTTCGGTTCTTTACAAAGACGTATTTGCAGAGATTTCTCTGACAGAGAGAACAGTTTAATAATTCAATCAGACAAATATTTGGCGAAAACCTCCTTTGTGCCTGGTCTTGCAGAAATGCCAAGTTCAGGTCGCCCTCCCTGTTCATATGACAGGGTTTCCATAGTGTTCCAATAAACACAAAGTAATAGAAACAATCTTGAACTTGGAGCACAGACACGCCTTGAGTCACATTTAACCTTAAAAAATAAAAATAAAAACGGCAACAACACTGTATGATTCCAGAGACAGAAGCTGCAAGTGACCAACTCTGGTTGCCCACCCCTCTGGTCCCCTTTTTCCCTGTATTTCTTTGCACTCTCTTTATGCCAAATTAAGTAAACTGATGCAATTCAGGTTCCTCACAATTATAAAATGTGTAGCTCAACCAATGAAATGAAGACTGTATGATCTGGTGAAAGAATGAAAACAGCATGGCTTTTGACTGAAAGCAGAATGAGTTCAATGAAATGCCTAAAGTCTTTAAACACCTTGACAACGGAAAACTAGCAAGATGTGCTATAGTCACCTAAAGAATCAGAGAGTACAGGGCTTAATTTTTAATTCATCCTTAAAAATTCATGGTGGTCACCACAAGATCTTAAGATTCCACTTAGAAGCTTGTTTGGAAGGAGAGAGGGAGAGAAGAAAAGGAAGAAGAAAGAGGGGAACAAGAGAAGCAGATGGCTCAGGTGACATACTAACACCACATTACCTCCAGAGCAATGATTTACACTGTATTCACGGAGGAATCAAACCAATGAATGTGCATGTACCTTAAAAATGACGGTGTGCTATAAAACACA